GGGTATACTGTACACACCCGGTTGGTCTTCTAAGTTAATTTTGTCCTTGTCGTTTCTTAATAATCTATAAATATTGGGCGCTCTTTTATATATTATCTTTGCGTTTTTGTATTTTCCTAATTCCTTCACCACCTTCTTCGTTTGTTCATTGTATGTGAACTTATTGCATGTAGTATTGTTGTTATGGTTTGGATTTGTAGCTTTTTGTTTACCGTAGCTTTTTACAAGGCCTATGATTGTGGACTTTCTGTATCCTAAAGTCCTTGCTACCTGTTGAATTCTATTAATTTCTTTATCCCTGTCTTGTACATTGGTGCAGTACAAGAAGGCCCTTTTGATCAGTGCCTTAAACGCAGATAATTTATATTTATACAGGTCTTTTGACCATGCCGGTATGTATAAAGGAGCGTGTGTTGGTTTCAAATATACTTTTGTTTGTATGTTTCCTAATTTGAATTCCATGTTAATATCCAAGAAATGGATGTTCCTTCGGCTTTTTTGTTCTAATTTTAGCTTCAATCCGTGCTCATTATTGTTGATTGCTGTTAAGAATTCATTAATGCGTTGATCATCTTTCCAAATTATTAATATGTCATCAACGTAGCGTTTGTATATTACGATGCTATCGGAGAAATCCTTGAGGATGTTCTTTTCCAATTTCCTTATTACCAGTTCACATAGCAGACCTGACATAGGACTTCCCATGGGAACTCCTTTCTTTTGTTTGTATATCGTTCCATTAAATTTGAAAAATGAATGAAAACAAATCAGTTTTGCCAAATCTTGCAAGTTTTCTATGTATTTTGCCGTTTCTTGATTTTGTTGTATTAAGAACTCAATTAGTTCGTTGAAGCACGATGTTAGATTAATGGAGGGGAACAGATTTTCAAAGTCCATCACCGTTCCTACTTCATCGTTCATTAAATTTAAGTTTTGTATTTCTTTTATTAATTTAGTTGGATCATTGGTCACAAAACTATTATCTTCCATTTTTGTACTTATGTATTCCTTTAAACGTTTTTCCAGTGTGTACGTTGGTGCGTTATTCTTCTCTACCACAGGTCTGAGTTCTTTGTCCTCTTTGTGCGTTTTCGCAAATGCGAATAATCTAGGCATCTGTGGATTGGGGTTATGCGCCCTTTTTAGGAATGTTAAGACGGACGACAGTGGTGCTTTTTCAATCTTTCTAACTTTTTTATCCGTGCTTATATATTTTTATCATATATTTATTTTAATTTACGTTTTTCATGTTATAGTTAAGTTACAAGTTTTTGATATTTATCATAACTATTTATTTACACACAAAAGTTGTAATAAGTTCAAATTCAAACGAATTTCGAACGAATGATTGATTCCATTGAAAGAAAACTGTTAAAATCCTGAAGATGGCCTATACAAATTGGCCGAAAACGTTAGAATAAACAAAAATAACTCAGCAAATATAAATCAGGTGTGTGAGATTTATTATTTATATATAGATAGCATTGCTGAGAAGGTAGATAGATTATTACATTTTCTATATCCCCATCATCTATAATTACTAAATCCATATATGTTTGATTAATTCAGATTTTAAATTACCTTTAAAATATGAAAAATTCTTCTCTTTTCCTCTTATTGTTAATTAGATTTCATTAAAATATATCAGCACAGCAGACAGTGACTTCTTTTATCTGACATCTCTATATAGGTATAAATTGTCTCTATAGTCAAAACTGGTATTTGTAAAGTTAGAGGGAGATCCTTATATTCAGGTGAATCAGAAAGTTTGAGTGCAGGAGAGCTGTCACAGGATATAGAAAAATTGAGTTTTCTAATTTTTCTTATATGCCAGTAACATAAAATTATTGTAAACAAGTTTAATAACTATATGATCACCATTATTTTTTTAATTTTTTCTATCTCATTGACAGGAAAGCAATAAAATATATTATATTCTTGCCTTAATATATTACATATTATATAAAAATAAATAGTATAAGGTAACTGTAACAGTATTGACAGGCATCTAAATGTGGCATGTATATATTTTAAATTACCATTTCCTAGGATATTTTCAAAAGAATTGAATTTCTATATCTCTACATTAATTAAGTTTCTAGTATCATGTTGTGGCAAGAAGCAGAAATTGTCATTTCAAATGTTAATTTAAAAGAATTGTCTTACTGAAACACAAAAGGTGACTAGATTGCAGTGATTATTGCTTTACAAGAGTAAGTAGTCAAATATGCAAGCAGTAAGTTCTGTTACTTTTTTTATTGAAAAACTATATTGATCTGTAAAATTTTTAAGATTTAATTAGTGATTTGTCAGATTCAGTAAAAAAAAGGCAAAAATTCACTTACGTGTGCACTATACAAGAAGTTTATTGATGAAGAAATTAGTGTTATTGCATTAAACTATTAAAACAAGTAAGAAGACTTGTGACCAATAAAAAAGACATTTTAATTATATTTATTTTACACACACTAAAAATTGTTTTCTCTTGGTAAAAGATTAAGATATACAGTGGAACCTCGGTATACGACCTTAATTTGTTCCTGGTGTTTGGACTTATACCGAATAGGACATATACCAAACCAACCTTTTCCATAAGAAGTAATGTAAAAATGATTAATCCGTTCTCATGTAAAAAAAAAAAATGGCTGGCTTTAAACACCTCACTTTCCTGTCTAGTTCCTGCTTGATTTTTCATGAGATCAGCATGTATCTTTTTATCTTTCTCGCAAATAATTGCTTCAGATATGATGTCGCCAGCACACTGTTTTTCAGTTATCCAAAGCAAAGGCAATTTCTCAACATGATCTAATGTCTTCGATCTCTGTTTAGAAATTGATTTAACCCCTTTTGCAACGTTAGCAGATTTAATAATGTCTTTATTTTTCACGATTGTCAATATCGTCATTCTTGGAATATGGTATGCAACAGTTAAAACTCGAACACGCATGCCACCTTCACATTTCTCAACAATCTTTTTTTTTCAGTTTCATTGTGATTTTAGTCATTTTTTTATTTTTCTGTTGCCTTTTTGCAATTTATGATTAATAAAAATAATAACATTTTACTTACAAATTAAAATAAAAAGAAATTTAACAAAGTTATAAACTGTGGCACTGTGAACGTCTAGTCTGGTCTAATACACCGATAGTACTACTTTTTCTTAGATGGCGTGTATAACTGAATTAAGTCGTATACCAAACAAAATTTGTTTCGTCCAAACAGGACGTATTCTGAATTGGACGTATTCTAAAGCAGACATATATCAAGGTACCACTGTATATCCCTTATAGTGTCTTAGAACTTCATAGGAAGTAGTTTTGTTTGTGTTGATTGTTGTTCTAAATTATAGTGATAACTTATTGGTACAGTTAACATTTCAGGAACTGGTATAAATTGGTTATAATACATGGTGTGGCTAGAAAATAAAAAGACTGTGATTGCCTACACACAATGGTCACACGTGGGCCAAAGTGGATGGGTAAACAACCTTGAACAAGTTAGAACTCCACAGTGAGTTTTAACTTGCTACCTCTATTAGATTGCTGTGAGTGCCTGCTACAAGTGGATATGTTTTTAGTGTATGTTGGAAAAATGGCCAGCTTGAAAGAGAAGCAGCATATCAACCTGAAATTTTTGGTGAAGATGAAGAAAAAACTTCCACTGAATCTTTGCACCTGCTACGTGAAGCATATAGCGACACATGTTTTTGTTGTGCATGTGAGTTTGAATAGCACAGATTTTCTGAGGGCCGAGAGGATGTGAAAGATGAACATTCTGGACAGCCCAGCACATCAAAAACTGAGGAAAGTGGAACAAATTGTTCCACTTTCCTCAGTTTTTGATGTGCTGGAATCTTTGTGAAAAAGTGTCAAAAGAAAGTGACAACACTTATGGCAAAATTCATCCTCCACCAGGACAATGCACCAGTTCATTCCACTCTGTCAGTGAAGTAGGTTTTGGCCAAGAAGGCAGTCACACAACTTGAACACTCACCGTACTTGCCTGACTTAGCTCTGTGTGACTTTTATCTTTTCTCTAAAGTCAAGTCTGCTGTGAAGGAACACCATTTTGATTTGATTTTTGCTGTCAATAAAAAAGATTGAGCTTCTGTATAGTCTTACATATGATGACCTGTAACATTTACGAACAGTGGAAGTTGCGAATGCAGCACTATATGGAAGCAGAAGGATCATACATTGAAGAGGAATACAACTAAAGTGAGTATGCTACTCAATATTTAAAGTTCCAGCTTCAGTCTCATTATTTTCTAGCCACATCTTGTATATCAGGCTCAGTACATGCCCATATTCCAGGAAAAGAAAAAAATTTTAAAGTTTTTGACCTTATACATTGGTTAGACAAAAGTGAAAGAATTCAATGACAATTTTACTGATCTTTAGATCTGTTCTTATTAACAAAAAATGTGCATTTTGTGAAATCTTATCCTTAAAAATTTCATCCATTGATAAGTTACCTTATCATGTAATAGTCATAAGGATGTGAAATTATAAATGTAATAATTAAGGATAAAAATGTAGATGTAGATTATTTTAACTTACCTTTCTATTAAATTGGCTTTCCTACCAGCTAACTCAGCATTGTATTTTTTTAATTCCTTCTTTAATTGTGCTATTATTGACCTTTTTAAATAATAATTTCATTCTTCCATTATTTTAAAGTAAGTTATCCTTCAAATGGGGCACCTTGTTTACAACTTCATCAATATGCACGACACCTTTGTCACATAATCACTTTTTTTCCCTATTACATGTGGTGGTAATACTATGTTGCCACAAATGGCTTTACGTTTTTTAAGATTTATAAATAAATAAATTATTGTAATTGGCAATGCATGTTTTGTTGAAAGTATTGCCTATTTATATATATAGCAATGTATGTTTGACAATAATAATTACTTTAAAACATATTGAAAAAATTGATTGAATTTTTTGTCTATGAACTGTAAAAATGAAATTGATTAAATGTAAATAATGTTTCAGACAATACCTCGAGCAATGGCAGAATTAAGAACAGTCCATGGTATTTGCCCTCCAGAAGTGTTAAGCTTTCTATTAGATTTATTTAAATACAATGACAACAGTAAAAACAAAGTAAGTGGTACAAAATAAATAACAGATTTAATTTTTATTTTTTATGGAAATTTTATATTTTTGTGTGTAATCTGCTGATTATCTATATTTAAAAGACAATTTGAAATGGAGCTTGGATTATGTGATGGAGCAAATTATACACTGGACTGCAATTTGAAAAAAATTGTAGATTTATAAATTTCCACTGTCATTTGTCCATTCATATGTCTGTCTTTCTTTAATCTCGAGAACTGAGTTAGACAGATAAAATTCAAGTACAGATATGGAAAGTGTAGGGGCAGGATGCCCCGATTAACTATATATGAACTTCTGATGCAAACCAGAAGTCATGTTATTTCAAATAAATTTTTCCCTGAAAGGAGTTAGATCAAGGGTCGCCAAACTTTTTTAACTGTCAACCCCCAACCACTTTCCAAAGCCTCACATTGACCCCCACTGTAAAGTTTTATTACAAGTGTATGTGTATAAAAAAAAAAAAAAAAAAAAGGTTGTGATCCCTTAGCCGCATCGACTCCTGGAGGTCGATATCGACCACTTTGGCGACCCCTGAGTTAGATATATGACCAGCATGACTCCATTGCTAACAGAAAAGTATGATGTACAGTACACGGACAAGACACTACAGTACTGATTTGAGATGGAGAGCATATATTTTAAATTAAATAAATTAAAAATTGCAATCCAGCATTGTGACAATGTCACAATATTGCTTGTTTTAAATTGCAATTGCAAACTTGCTGCTCCCATAGCTGTGAAGTATATAGTTGGGCAGGTTATATAAACATTTTATCTTTGGTTTAGAAATTTTCTGCAGGTTATACGTGCAAAAATATGGTAATTAATTTTGCTGAAATAGAGTAGTAAATTTTAAGAATTTATAATATAGTACACTAGATACATTTTAATGAATTATGATATAATATACATGGATTTGTATATTATATCAGAACTCATTGGTTGGTTGTTATGTTCCAAAAGTTTTTAATATTTTAAAATCTGATCCATTTCAAGTATTCCAAATTTGGAATTCGTTCTTACTCTAACCTGAAGCAGATCTTGAGTAAGGTCAAAAATGTTTGTTGGATGATGCATTAAATGTTTTTTGTTACTGGACATGAAGGTTCATCGAGGGTGAACAGATTTGTATGCTGTAATTTCCTGTATATAATATATAGCAGCATATAACTTACAAAAATTGCTAGAACACAATGTTCATCTGCTTTCAAATTGACTTTAAAACACAGATAACTCACAAATTATGTATAGGAAATTGTGTAATATAGAGTGATTTAAGAATTAAATTATTAACTCGAACAAACTTTCGGTAATTGTTTTGCAACTTGAACAGAATTTGAGTTGCAAAACAATTACCAGCATGGTTTCATAAGTACTAAATTAAATTATTAAATGAAATACTAATTAACAACTTGATAACTGATGAAAGGTTTAAAAAAAGTGTTAGTCACATAAAATAACAAATCAATTTTTAGTCTGTTTAATCAAATTTAATCAAGAAATAGAATGAAAAATGATTTAGTATTTAAAAAGTATTTTTTTAGTAAATGAATAAAATATAGGTTAATATATTTATTAAGGGTTTATCTCAGTGATTTGTAACCACACTTATGTGATTTTATAACTTTTTCTTTTGTAAATTAAATAGAAAAACTTAAATTAAAAAGAAAATATATTAATAAATAGGTGAAATATTAAAATCTTTGCAACAAATAAATAATGTTCAAAAATTACTTGCATAACAATTACTAAGAAATATAAAATACAGTGAGCAATTATTTATTGTGACATTGTCACAATGCCAGGCTGTAGTTTTTAATCATATTTTTAACTTATTTCATTTAAAATATACACTATCCTCCTCAAATTAGTAGTGGCTTGCCTCTGTACATCATATTTTTCTTTTAACTATAGAGTCATGATGGTCATCTATCTAACACCTTTCAAGGGGGAAATTTTTGAATTGAAATAACACAACTTCTGGTTTGTATTCAAAGTTTATATATAGTTAATTGGGGCCTCCTGCACCTACACTTTCCATATCTGATCTTGTCTTTCATTTATCTAACTCCATTCTTGAGATTAAGGAAAAACAGATGGACGACAGTGGAAATTTATGTCTACAGTTTTTCAAATAGCAACCCAATTAGAATAAATATAAATGTTTAAAAAATTACAATGTTGGTTAACCTATTTTTTGTAAGATGTGACATACTACACAAAAATACTAAAGTAAAAATGAAAACATTAATAAGAACCATCATTGAATTAGAAGCTTATTAGTTGTAATACAGTGGTGTTTCATGCATTGAATTTAATTAATTCCAGGAGGCCGTTCAAACTTTGGATTGTTTTAAGTCCAAATCAATTTTTCTCATTAGAAATAAAGGAAAGCAAATTAATCCATTTTCAGACCCTAAACAATATCCATTTCAATAAACTTAAAATTACAAACACGTGTAATTTAAAGGAAAAATAACACATTTAAATGCACTAATAATAAATTAAAACACAAAAACAATAAATAAAATACATGAATATCATATAATAAAATGAAAATTGCATTTACTGTTTGCACACCATCGACTCATATCTTAAACATAGCTGCCAGATGTCACATTTGTTCTTTACAGTATGTTTCTTTTTCGTCTCATTCGTCAGTATTACAAGCTTTCTCTACTTGTTAGACCTTATTGCTTCTACACATTTCTCATATGCCATGGTTAATAAGTAGCATCGATATTGGATCAAATAGAAAGTTTTTGCATATTTAGCAGGTCTTATTACTTAACATAGATGTGTGATTTAATTATAACAGTTATGAAATTTAATTATAAATGTAAACCAGTTATTGATGTTCTGTTCTGTGTTTTTAAAACCCTCAATTAAGAATGCTAATTGAAGAGGGGTTATAATTAAAAAACCAAAATACATTTTAGCAAAGGAAAAAGTTTTAGTTGTGTATTGAGAATAATAGATAGTCAATGGAAATATTATAATTTACAATGGAAAATAAAAAGTTGTAAAACTGCATGTGATTACAAATTGGTGTGATAAACCTTACTAACAAAAATATTAACGTTTTACTAGTTTACAAAATTACGTTTTATTACTTTACAAAATTATAACAAAAGGGTAAAAAGCTCCAAAATTAAAAAGTATTGTTTGAAAAATTCTGATTTTGGAAATAGTTTGTGTAAGTTGGTAAAGATGATGAGAGGACATCTTAAAAACATTTCAATAGAATAAAACTTGGCTCTTAAATTAATGGTTTGGTGTTGGGTCTGATTGAATGCCATGGAATTGCTGTTTCATTGTTTAGCTAAGTTAAATTTAATTTTTTATTTTATATGTGTTTTGCTGTTTTCTGTTAATATTACTGTAGAATGAAATTGTGTTTTGGTTTTATTAATAACTAATTTAAGCATTCAAGATTTGGCATAAGTTGTTACAGGTATATTATAGAAATTTAGATTTCATCATCCAGAAAATATATCTAACTAGCTGATGTATAGTATCTGGCAAGAGTTGTTAAAAATATACATAAGTTAAGAGTTGTTATTGTTAAGAGCAATGAAAACAGTAATTACATATTTACATATCTTTGTATAGACTTGTTCTGTTGTATTTTATAGAAATATTCTTAAAGATTAGAAAATCTCTCTCAAAACAGTGAAACATGAAAAACTAGCATACTTTTACAGTACAATATCTCAACTCTTAAAAAACAGGATTAAACTACTGTTGTGCTCAGCCTTTCAATTCTTAGTTGAACAATTTGCAACACAATTGATATTCTGTATTTCAAGAAGCAATAATAATATTTCAAAGAAACAATGAAAGAAGATGGGAAATACAGTCAACCTGCATTAATATGAATTTTTGATAAAACAAACTAATGACTTTCAGGGTCAAGGTCAAGGTTGTAAAATTTATAAAGTTCAACATTGATTGCAATGAAAATCTCTAAATTATATTTTGAATTTATTTACTAAGTAATGTTAAATATAATTAAATTTATATACAAAAACAAATGAATGATCTAAATGATTGTCAAATCAAACAAAATGAGAAGGTAGTATTTGCCATCTGATATATTGCATGTGGAGCAGTATATCAGAGTGGTTAAACAAAACAAAGCTAAAAGAAATTTGTAATGTTTTTTTATTGAAGATTGTTTGAAAATTAACAAAAAAAATTTTTTCAGTACCAAAAAAGTAAAAAAGGAGCCAAATTTGGTACAAAGTAGCCAAACCTGGCATCACTACATGCACGCCCCAATATGTAAACTAAACTAACAAGTTTGTAACATTTTTTTGGAAGTTCCTGTAATTTGTATTAATACAGAGAATTCTATTGAAAAGAAATATCAATAAAACAAAAATTTTACTGTAGAGATAAAAGTTTCTCAGGCTGATTCCCTATGGGAATCAGCCTGAGAAACTGATTTTACACCAAATATGTAATGTAATGAAGATAAAATTTTGGTTTTAGCCTGTCATGTGAATGTGCAATTTTTTAAATATTAAAAGCTTGTTTTCATGTTAATATCTACAGAATTGCTTGGCCAAATTGAAAAATCGGAAAAATTCAGTGTTCTGATAGTGAAAATTTAAAATAATCAATAATTATATTACCCAATAGTGCAAGGTCCCAAATGAATAAAGTGACCATATTGTTTATTTGCTAATTCAGGATAATTTTTAAGAGTGAGTGACAAAAAGATTTTAAAAAAATAGCTAAACTTATATTATTTTTAAAAAATTATTCATATATTGACCTATAAATTGGTTATATTGCATTAGAAGACCTATAAAATGATTTTATTTAAAATTTTCTTTTATTTTGAGGGTTAAAAGCAGAAAAAATCTGAAACTATCCTAGACAAAATGGGTCATATACATCACCCTGTAAATGAGGTGAAATTTGGAATGCTTCAATTTGTAAGTTTTCAGTCCAAAAACTTAACAATTGGAAATTCCCAA